AAAAAAAGGAAGCATCCATTTCCTATTCAATTTTTATTGAATTATTAGCTTCTTGATTAGAATATAAAGGAATTATGAACAGGTTTTTATGGACACTATGTCAGATGTCTATGATACACATTATTGTCATAGATTAGAGATATATACTTAGGCACTCTATAATTCTTACCTATGGTTAATGACAGAATGGTTATAGCTGGTTATAGATAAGGTTAATGCCAGAGTTTAAGGGCATTCTATGACTATGTTAAAGCGTCAAATTCGGAAATTAATGGTGATACGTTGATAGTAGTTAAAGATGATATTCCTGCATATTTAGTTTCACTATAATAAAATGTTATTCTACTCTGTTGCATTAATTTTTTTAGCTTGTGTTGTTTCTTTGATTAACTGTTTGCCTGATGAAGGGGTATGGGATTTCAATTTGACGATGGTAGGTTAGGTTAAAAATATTTATTAGATCAAAATCTAATTAGTATTTTACTCTTGGTATATTTCAGCAAGATGATAGATTTTATCTTTCGAAGAGCTTGTATCAAGGATCACAAATATACATAAAACGTGAGCAGTTTGTAATTTTAGCATTACACACAGCATATGCATAATGTCACAATACCTGATTTTGTTTTAGTAAACTGTGAAAGTGTGAATTCTAGAAGAAGTAACATTGAAATTAGTTGGGAAGTTGTCCAGTCACGTTGTTGGCAAATCCCACACCATGTTTTTGAAGAGTTCAATGTAAGTAACTAAAGTAATTTGGGCCAATCTTTTATATTACCCTAAATAAAAGTGCCTTAAAAAGGTTTTTTGTAGTTGTGTGAAATGAAAATGTTATGTGTTATGAAAATTAAGATATGTTTGGGAATGTTGCCCTGATTTGAAACTTAATTAGTTGATCATTTGAAGGTTGTATTTATATATCTGAGTTTTTTATTTACTGGCTCAGAATAATGAGCTCTAAGGTTAGTTACATTTTAAAACAATGCAACCTTCCCAACCATAAACTAGCATTTAACAAATGGGCAACCCTCAAAATAAAAATGAAAACCTTTTTGGTTACTTTCATATTGGGTAGCATAAGCCAGATATAAAAGGAAGTCAGAAAAAACAGAGAACTTAATCGAAAGTATAATTTCAGAACTTAATAGCCAACGGCTCCATAAATGAAACAAATTCTTACCGTTCCCTTCATAGAAAATACATTTGTGATGATCATATAATCTTAGATCCGTTACCTGCACCAGCTGGATCTTCCAAATCACATGCCAACTATATAGCTCCAAGAGATGGAGTGTACATTTTAATACTTCGAGTATCTACCGATCCAAAGTTTAATTTGGAATTTACTTTGGGAGTTCATATTGAAATAAAAAGTGACTATGGCTATTTATCAGCAGCAGATTGGCCACTTTTACCATTTTATGGAATTATGTGTGTAGTTTATGTTTTGTATGGTATAGGTTGGCTTGTTATTTCTGCCTTACAATGGAGAGATCTCCTTAGAGTACAGTTTTGGATTGGAGGTGTTATTCTCCTAGGAATGTTAGAAAAAGCACTGTTTTATGCAGAATTTCATAACATAAATAATACAGGATTGCGTGTTCAGAATGTTATGCTTTTAGCAGAATGGGTTTCCTGTGCCAAGCGAACACTAGCTCGTATGTTGGTTGTAATAGTTAGTCTTGGTTTTGGAATAGTCAAACCACGTTTAGGAACAGCTCTTCATCGAGTCATCGCAGTGGGTGCACTGTACCTTTGTTTAGCAGCAACTGAATCATATTTGCGCATAATGACGCCAAAAAATGATCACAATAGAGACCTGTTGGTAGCTTCGGTCCCTTTGGCTGTATTAGATTCTGCTATCTGTTGGTGGATATTCAACGCTCTTGTTAATACAACCCGCACGCTTCGTTTACGCAGAAATGAAGTTAAGTTATCTCTCTACCGACACTTCACAAACACCTTAATATTCTCCGTTGTATCGTCCATTATATTTATGTTATATTCTATAAAAACGCACCACTTTCCCAGTTGTTTAACTATTTGGAAGGATTTATGGTTAGAAGATGCCTACTGGCATATATTATTCTCTGCTGTATTACTGGTTATTATGATACTGTGGAGGCCAACCAATAACAACCAAAGGTATGCATTTGTCCCTCTTTTGGAAACAGGCGATGATGAAGAAGAGGAACATTTAGTAAATGATGCTTATGGGGTAAAAGTAAGAATGCATCAACAACAGAAACCATCGTCACCGAAAAATACTTCAGTAGAAGATGAAATAAAATGGTTGGAAGAAAATGTTAAAAACGAAATGCCATTGCCTATTCTCGATTCCGACGAAGAGCTTGTAAATACACATTTTGAAGTCTCAAAAATGCAGTAGATCTACATATTTATTTATTGTGCTTAAAATTTCTATTTAAGATTTGTGTTCTTAATATTAATTCTGTGTTATTACTGACTATTAATACATATTTTATTTGAGCTGTGGACTTTTGCATGAAATTTTAAACAAGTTCATAATTTGTCTCCAATGACAACATTTACTAAGAACTTTAAACAAAAATTGTACGCTATAATGACTTTAAACTCACGCTATCATCACAATGTTATTTAAAACAGGTGTTAAAAGAAACGAAATATATATCGACGAAACTTTTCTGACTATCTGATTACTGTAATGAACGACAACTTTATCAGAATATGAATTCACAATATTTTCGACGTCTTTTTACATAATTATTTTGATTTAGCAAAACAAGAAACCGACGGACAAAATTCAATTGACAATTTCAAAGAAAGCTTAGAATACTTTTATCATTGCACATTGACGAGAAATAGGCGAGATAAGACATCTTCTCAAGCATGAAAGGCTAGTTAAAGACATATTAGATGCAGAAACAGGAGTTAAAAGTAGGGGTAAATTTGATTACTGTTCAAATAGTTAAGGATATAGGATGTTCTAGTTTAAGATTAGCTCAGGATAGGAAAAGGTGGAGGTGCGTGTCCAACCAGTCTTAGGACTGACGATCTTATGATGATGATGT